TTGCACCCCTGCATACATGCGTGTGTTCGTGCGAGTGTTGCGTGCGTGCATGTGTATGTGCGGGTGTGGCTACACGTCAGTCGACTGACTTTTTCATCTCTGGTCAGTAGATTTTCCAGCCGTTGCATACGGAATCAAGGGCCCGTAGTTTATCTACAACCTCCACCCCATGAGCCGCCAGCCACCGCCGGCTGCCGCCGCCCGTGGCTAGCCCACACGGCCACGCCCGCCCCGAAACCCCTCCCCACCGCCGGGCTGCCGCCGCCCCGGCCATCCCTTTAGTCCCCCCCCCCCACGTCGAGCTTTTCTCCGGTGATCCCCACGCCACCGCCCAATCACCGCCCCCCACCGCTGGCGACTGCCAACCAGAGGTCTCATGACTTCGAATCCCCACCGACCACTATTTTATTACCATTTTTGTCCTTCATATACGCGCTGACGGGTGGGCCCTATGGTAATGTGCGCTGCTGAATGTGGACCGTTTGACTGGTTAATTGATCGTCTCATCAACAAATTACGGAGCTGTATGGTGAGCCAGTGACCGTATGATCGACCTAAAATGTGTTCTATTAACACATTACAAAATCAAACTACCATTATTTCTTTCATATACGCGCTGACAGGTGGACCCCACGGTACGCGTCCCGATGGCGCAACACTAGTTGCGCCACGTGGAACGTTTGGCTGGTCAATTGGTTGTGACATCAACAAAATACGGAGTTGTATGGGTGAGCCAGTGACGGTATAATCATGACATGTATTTTGTAACACGGTACAGACGCAAGCGCTCATATATACGCGCAAGCACTCACCGCTATAAGCGCACACACGCAGACCCTACCCCTATGAGAACCTTCGAGAGAGTGAGCCAGCATATGATCTTGAGATTTTACAAAGTCACCATAGGTGCCTCGTAGTCGAGTGGAACGTCTCCTCCCACTGAACGCACATCACCGGAAAAATACTGAAATTAACCCAGGATAAATGTGAGCATCAGGACTTTAACCCTGGTGGGATCGAGAAACCACTGTCCTCCTAACCATCCAACCATAGGTTGGTTAGCACCACAAAATGTATGTGCTGACCGTGATGAGCTTATTCTGAAGTCCAGTGACCATATCATGCTTTCGCTTCAAATACAATGACTGTAAGTGTCATCAACAAAATATGGAGCACGCATCAAATACAATGTCCGTCAATGTCATCAACAAAATACGGAGACATATCGTGAGCTAGATGCCGTATGATCACCACGAGAATATATACGATGACCGTAATGAGCATATTCTAAAGTCCACCGACCGTATAGTGCTTTCTCTTGAAATACAGTGACCGTTACGCGTGAATGTGTCATGGGGATGCATACTTTCAGAGGGCCGAGAGATAGTTTGTGTGCATACGTGAAAGTGGTGTAGAAATAGGGGGTGTCCGGTGGAGACAAGGAGAGATATGCCCTTTGTTTCTCTTTCCCGTGACTAATATTTTAGGAGAAAATATAAACATTCACAATGCAGAACAAATATTTTTGGATGCACCATGCAATTAACTTTCATGTATAACATTGTACTATTGTATATGCTTATTTTCTTAGTGGCTGATTGCGTGTGTGGTGTGGTGGGCACATCATTTCTAGTTGGGATGGGCACATCATTTCTAGTTGTGGTGGGTCAACATGAGGACTCATGGGTCGGTTCCATCCTGCGCCACATAGGTTGGACCAAGACACATTATACGAAGACCCATGTGGAGGATTCGGCGTACAACACGAAGCTACCAGAGTCGTGGAGGACTTTATCCCCACTGGTGATAAGCCGACTATATATGACTACTCATCAACCCGTGCAGATGCACGGGCTATCCACTCTAGGTTACACTTAAGCACAATAAAGTTTATATTATTATAATTAAATATTCATTTGCAAAGTTATTTTGAATTTAAATACATCATGAATTTTGGATTGTAAATATAAAATAATACATTTTTGGGGGATGTATATCATTGAGAAATGTTGGTAGATAAGAGAAGAGGCTGGTAAAAATCATTAGATGTAATGTGTCGCTTTAAAGCTGATAGTGGCACTATTGCAAGGTAAGCATGTAGAGATTACATATGACATATAGAATTTCCAAGTTACCAATTAAAGTGTTCATGCACCCATGCCTACCATGATGCTTTCAGTAATGATTTCTATTGACTTACTCTCCACATTACAGTTTTATGAGCTACAAAATTTGGAGGAACCAAACTATTTATTTCAGAACTGTTTTTCTATGACAACAATGTACGTGAAAGGAAAGGTTGTGAGAGGCGAGATTATATGGATTCGGTTTGTAGTTTTAGGAAAATGTTGTTGATAAGGGGCATGAAAGTAATTAAGAATGGGTGAAATCTTAATTAACAACATGAAGGCAGACAGGTGAGAATAACATAGTTGTCGAGTACAACAACAAAACCATAATTACACCCACAAACAAAAATAGACTGATAAATCAACGTGTTTGTATACATCATGTCTTGCAAGCAGCGGCTTTGTATATTTGGTTTAGCATGCATTGATCATGTTTTGGGGTTGTCATGTTGGATGCAGCAAAATCTGGGTAGCAAAGAAGAAATAAGCCACGGATACTGTCAATACATTTTTCTTGCTTGTAATTTAAAAGCACCCTCGTTTTTTTCTTTTGCTCGGAATGCCATAAAAATGGGTGGAAAAAAAGGACGTAAGTGAAAAACATAAGGGAATATAGATGTAGACCTTGGTCCAGCAATTCAATCTTGCTCCAGCAAGGCATATTACAAAATGACGTTTCTCACATTCCTAAGTCTAGTTAGTGAATAACATCAGGAGGCACAGGAACTTAAGTGTTGGAGCTAACTGGGATATATATTACATAGTGGCCTTGTCCCTTCCGGACTTGGGCAATCACGGGCGTGTGCTCTGTTTTTCTGGCCGGTAGATCCAGTAGTAAATAATCCTTGTTTGGTGCGTCCTCCATGAATCAATCAAGGTGCTTTAATCCTTATGGCAGAAAGAAGTCCTCCCAGAGCAACCTAACTGGCACTGTAGCAATTACTTGGTTCTTGCACAAATGCGTCAGACAATACAAACTGCACAAAATTCTCTTCAAGAATCAAGGATATATCTACTAAAAGGCAAATAAATTAAGAGCCAATACAAAAACTTCAATGCTAGTACTTTACCCTGATCAATCCTTTCTTATCACCATGCTTTTTATGCTTCCGCAGCCACATGTAATCTCCATTGACAATCATCGCTCATCGGCATGAACTGGCACTTCTCTGTGCGCCAATGCATCCTCTGGTTGGTGCCAGCGCTCGCCGGCCAACCTGCAACTGTTACCAGATAGATCAATCAGAAGAACATAAGCATCATAGACGATAGTCGTCAACCCATCTATTTGCAAGTCCTAGCATTTTGTACAACACCTAAAGATAAAGGTACTAAAATCATTTATTAGATACACAATATTTAGATATATAAACTAAATTATTATATCAGTCTCTTGAACCAATCGAAAGGAAACATGCAAATTTCGGTTTACTTAAGAAGAATGTAAATTTTGTCATACTAAATGCTAAGAAAAATGATCCAAATTCAGAGGTACATCAAATCACAATTATAGTATTGAAAGAAAACACACAAAAGGCATTTTTATCTCTTCCCAAAATAGGATAAAAAAATTAATGAACAATTAGACTTTTCAATGGTTCATAGATGAATACACTGTACCACAAAGAGTCTTAAATTGTATATTGTGTTACCTAACTTATTTAGATAGGCAAATAATCCAAAAATATAACAAAAAAGTATTGCTACAGAAAAATGTAACATGAAACATGAAATGTAAGAACCAAATAGAGGAACAAACATTTTGTGGCCACTTGATTGTAAAAGGAATGGACACTAAAGTTACTATAAATTTTTAACTTTTCTATAAGGTGAGGTAGTAACAAGCCAAAAAAATATGACATCTCATTTCTTTTGGCGCATTCACCTCAATTATTTTCTTATTCTTGTTTTTTGCATAAAATATAAGGCATGTGTGTAGACAGATGACTGAACTATTGGACTCTATGTGCATCCTTTTTGTGAGCTTATACGACTAAAAATCAGGAAGAGATTGCAAACTTGGAAATCATAGAAACTTACATTTAGTTTTGTATTTAGTTATTAATCGATATGATTTTCCATTTATCCCACTACCAAGACCCAAGCTTGCATTACTCATTACTCAGTGCCCTGCATATTTTGTGAAAGGCTCTTAGTTGAGATATTCCATGTCCAAAAAATACAATTTATTTAATGCGTTCGTAATTCTGAATCAGGTACAAAAAGAAGCAGACAAATATTACTTATGTCTTATAAGTTTGATACATGTGCCACCTAATAAATTTTCCCAAAAAGGAAAGCTGAGAGGTCCTATGCAGCACCATCATGTGTTTCTTCTTTCTAGTTTAGAGACAACCTAAGATTTCACTACTGATAAGGAGAATCTCCTTACTAAGGAAATTACCAGGTCATACCATGGGCATAAGAATTGTTCTTCGGAATTTCATCACCATATTAAAAAAGTATTGAAGGAGAGGTCTGTAAAAAAATCATCCATTAATGAGTGCGAGCACTACTAAAACAACTATAGCACACAATAACCAACAATCTATATAGAATCCGGTCACTTTGAAAAGTTAAAATGATTTATATAATATATTAGAGAATTGTGCCAGCTAGACCACTGATCATGAAGTAAAATATTTAGAGAAATATCTTTACAAAAGACAACTATTATTGGTACAAAATTTGGAAGGGTAGTCACTGAAACGAAATTCCTTTCTAACTGAATACAACACTGATCAAATTATACAATTGACAGTAACTTGTGTAAGATAATATTACGTACGACAAAATCACTGGATAGAGGACTCCCTCGGTATTAATGTATTAATCGCCGCTCAAGAACACATAATTGAAGTACTGTAACGAATGGCCCAAATGAAATTTTATATATGTCAGCAAAACAAACTACAAAAGGGCATGTTATTTAATACACCACGGAATAATTTGAGCAAATTTGATCGTAGCAGGTCTGAACATGCAAGATTAGCATCACAAATCATAGCTTCTATAACATCAGAGTCCATAGCATCAGAGGCCGTACCTTTCGCAGTGTGTGAGTTTCTCATTCCAGCACACATACATTGTCATGTACCAGCTGTTTGTAGAGCTCATCCCAATGAGAATTTGTATCTTCTTTAGTTATTATGTCTCTTAACAGTTAGGATAGCATTATAACTAAGTTGATGAGTTGTTAGGTTTTTGGTTGGTGATGTCTCTTGTTAGATTTAACCTGGAATAAAAAAATTATAATCTAGGAGTTACTCATCTGTTGGCTTTACTCAACAACTTTTTAATTAGAAGGAGCTCCTAACATAGATCATCTACAAACATAAATTCTATTCCATGGCATATGGATTTGCTATTAATGTATTGATTTGTATCTATATGTTTACACCAAATCAAAATCAAATGGAAGCATCGTACATCATTATTCCAAGGAAATAAGCTAAGAGCATGCATCTTCATTCTTCAATAGAGTTCTGCTCGGTGTTCAGTGCATATAATAATTTAGTGCTACAATTGGTATTCCTCCAGACTATGCTTTTTCATACAGCAAATTAGCACCTCATCTCCATAGGAGCTGTGAAATTTTTACTTTGGTCTCTCTTTCCCCTGTTTGCAAATCAATTTATGTTTCACCCCATCTTCATAGTAGAAGTAAAGGGACACGATTAGCTGATGATATTCAAATCCACATAAACTCTGTTTGCACCTACAGATGACAACGACTACTCTGTATGCACCTATAGATAACATCAACTACTCTGTATGCACCTGATATTAACTTTCCTATAAAATAAATATACGCATATAACAATACTTACATCCTTTTAATATGAAATACACAAAAATCAAATATCAGACAGTTGTTGATGTTACTATGACAACACGACAAAAAGAATCCACATTAATATTGTTGACCTTCTCACCCCGTAGTCTAAAATTAAAATTTTCTATCCTGTGTATTCCAAGAGTTGTAAATATTAGGAATCACGGTATTTGTACTCATTTAATTCCTTTTGATGTACTCGCTCAATCTGAATCACGGTATCTTCAATCTTTGAGATCCCATCAGTTGTCTATTTTTCCTCAGACGGTTTGCTAACTTGCATTGACCAGTTTATCACGGCATATGATGCTCCAATGAATACTAACCTGTCTTACGTCCTAGCTTGCTTTTATGCATGCATCCATGACGTACATGATGTATATGCTATGCCATGGACCTGAGCATGTAGTCTGCGATCGAAGCAGCTTCTTGGATGCCACGCATACTGAGCTACATGCGATGGGGTTACTCCCGCTTCTCCGGCATCTCTTGTGCAAGGGCTGCCTATACTCCCATGAGAGATGTGGCCGGGAAACCAGGCTAGGGCGTTAGACGACTTGTGAATACCGAGGTAGTCGTATATAGTCAAGAGATATATTAATTATAAGTACACCTGATGGGCATAGTTGTGCTCCGGTCCGATCTCCATAAGGCATACAGAAATTGTACTTCAAAAGATTGAGGGTTTGATCCAAATCGTGATTAGGATGAATTCGAGGACAACCTGATCAAAATAGAGATGCAAAACAATTAAATCTGAATCCAAATTAATATTTTGGATGACAAATCAGCAAAAAAATTGCAAAATAGATTGAGGAACGAACCTGATCCAGAAATTGTACTTCAAAAGATTGAGGATTTGATCCAAATCGTGATTAGGGTGAATTCGAGGACAACCTGATCAAAATAGAGATGCAAAATTATTAAATCTAAATCCAAATTAATATTCTGGATGACAAATCAGCAAAAAAATGCAAAATAGATTGAGGAACGAACCTGATCTAGATCAGGAACGCTAGATCCATGGCCCCATATGCTTTTTAGATCCATCGCCGCGCTTGCTCTGTATTAGTTTGGTTTCTAGGGTAGAGAGATTTGAGAGAGAAAGATTGGAGAGGAAGGGACCGTGGGCAAGATATTTGGTTTTCCATGGGGGAAAGAGATGGACGGGTGGAATACTTTCCATCGTGGGGAGAGGGAAAAAAGGAAGGGACGGTAGAATACTTTTCATATTGAGATTAGAATCTGATTATTCTATCATCTATTGTTTTTTCTTTTGTTAGCTAATCTAAACCGTTATAACTCAGCCCCACAAGATAGACGGCTCCTAATTTCTGATTAACGTGGTAATTACTTGGGAGTCTGTAATTAGTATAGGTAGGTATAGGTATAGATATAGATATAGATTTGTAACCCTAGGCCCCGAGTATGTTATAGAAGCATGGGGCTAGTTCGTCGATAGTATACACACACGCACAATGCCTGGTATTCATGTGTACTTTGTACACACCCCTATCACTAATATAGTACCAACAATAGGCTTTTTCCTCAACTGCAAGGGTCTGAACTTGGATAAAACTTTGCCTCGTATTACCATCCAGCCTAACAGTCAGAGATATCCTACCGAATGATCTGATGGAATCATATCTGCCAACTACTAAGAGAGAGGTGTGTCTGGGGGGGGGGCATTGTGTGCGAGAGAGGCCTAAAAATAATGTGCGTGCGAGAGATATGTAGGCACATATATGTGTGTATAGAGGGCTATTAGAGACCGTGCATGTGTATATATGCATGTGAGAGAAATAGTGTTTTTCAACTGAGATTAGTGAAAAGAGTGGTACATAGTAGTCAGAAAGAGAGAGAGAGAGAAAGAGAGAGAGTGCGTGAGACACCCCGGGAAAGATTGTGAGCATGTGTGAAAGAGAAATGCCAATGTATATAAAGTGTGTGCACCTATGCGTTAGATAAAGAGATATATAACACGTTTGTGAGAACGGGCCGAGGCATAGTGCATCTACGTGTAAAAGGCGATTCTATGCATTAAATTAAAATATAAATGGCATTATTATTTTTGGATGAGATCATGAATTTTGCAATTTGTGTATGAACGAAAATTGGTCTATCAGACACCCATACTCTATTGAATTCTAACATCTGCATGTGTTTATTTCATATTATGGATCCATAGATTGAGAGCGGTTTGAAATACAGGCAATGCATTGCTTTTGCAATTCATATATAAACATTAATTAGTTCACTCCATGTTGTTAGTGTGAAGCACTTTATACATTTGTCACTTACATGGATACATTCCAAATTGCTAGTTATGAAATAGAATACATCTTGAATTCAACATAAAGGGGGTTTCGAAGATTCGAATTCATAGGAAGTGCATTCATCTATTTGAACCCGAGATAATGGCATTTGTAAATCAGATCTAAAAGGGGGCATCAATCTTCGTTGTGCGTTTGAATATGCTATATATTCATACGCATGTCTAACTATTTTTTTGCAACCAAGGAGATTATATCTGGAACCATGCATGAACTGAGGTAAGTTGCATATTTTTTTTATATACTTGTGTACAATGTATATTCAAATGTACCCCCTCCATTCCAAAATAATCGTAGTTTTAGGCTTCTCAAGAGTAAGATTTGTGAAGTTTGACCAATCCTGAAAGTTCGATTCAAGAGAACCGAAAATGTTAATGCTTCTGCTCCCAAATATTGAACGAAGCGCCAAATAAGCCTCTGGTCACCCGAAACCATGCGAGACTAATTGTCGGTGTCGAAACCGGCGGATCTCGGGTAGGGGGTCCCGAACTGTGCGTCTAGGCCGGATGGTAATAGGAGGCAGGGGACACAATGTTTTACCCGGGTTCGGGCCCTCTTGATGGAGGTAAAACCCTACGTCCTGCTTGATTAATATTGATGATATGGGTAGTACAAGAGTAGATCTACCACGAGATCGAAGAGGCTAAACCCTAGAAGCTAGCCTATGGTATGATTGTCTGTTCGTCCTATGGACTAAAACCCTCCGATTTATATAGACACCGGAGAGGGCTAGGGTTACACAGAGTCGATTACAATGGGAGGAGATCTACATATCCGTATTGCCAAGCTTGCATTCCACGCCAAGGAAAGTCCCATCCGGACACGGGATGAAGTCTTCAATCTTGTATCTTCATAGTCTAACAGTCCGGCCAAAGGATATAGTCCGGTTGTCCGGAGACCACCTAATCCAGGACTTCCTCAGTAGCCCCTGAACCAAGCTTCAATGACGATGAGTCCGGCGCGCAGTATTGTCTTCGGCATTGCAAGGCGGGTTCCTCCTCCGAATACACCACGGAAGAATTTGAATACAAGGATAGTGTCCGACCCTGCAAAATAAGTTCCACATACCACCGTAGAGAGAATAATATTTTCGCAAATCTAATTTGCTAACTTGTTTTGGCAGCATGATGTTATGTCATGGCCCGGTGATTATTCGAACCGTTTTTCTTCAACCAGCTCCACACATAACGCGAAGCGGTTTCTTGACACGTCTTGTCAAAGCAGAGATTGTGTTCCCCCAATTACGGGATTCTCATTAATATGATCGTGGGTAACCCAACCGTGTCTAGGACTCCTAGATTATAGGCAAGTCCCAAACGGCTACGGAGAGGACGCTTGATATTCACCCTCTTTATAAAGGGACAAGGTTTTCGCTTTTTCCCTCTCGTGCTCAATCGAACCCCTCCCCCGCCTCGAGTTCTAACACCCAAAGCCCAGGTCAGGTGCTCCGGATCTTCAATCATGTCCGGATCCAGCCTTCAAGGCCGGTGGATGCCCTCCTCCGTCACGAAAGGGGATATCAAGAAGTTGAGGGAGGCCAGATACCTGACCGCCAAGGTTTCGCATCGGCTGCCTGCTCAAGGGCAGGTCGTCCCCACTCCCGAACCCAACGAGAACGTCGTGTTCGTCTCCCACTTCCTCCGAGGCCTAGGCCTCACTCTGGATCCCTTCGTCGGGGGTTTGATGTTTTATTACGAGCTAGATTTCCACGATCTAGCTCCGGACTCCTTTCTCCACATCTCGACATTTATTGTTGTGTGTGAGGCCTTCCTCCGCATTACCCCTCACTTCGGCCTGTGGCTCAAGACCTTTGAAGTGAAGCCGAAGATGATCGAGGGGCAACATGCAGCGTGCGGAGGCGCGTCAATGGGCAAGATGATAGGAGCTCCGTGGCCGAAAGGTTCCTTTCCAGAGGTGTCCGAATTATGGCAACGGGAGTGGTTTTACGTCACGGCTCCCAGAAGTGCCAAGTGGGC